GAAATACTAACAGTTCCACGTATCAAGTTGTTAGTAGAGATTTTAAAAACTAATCTACCTTAGCTGAAAAAAAAATAATGTTTTTACTTCATTCTTAAATAATCACATTTACTTACAGAATGCATATTACAGTGAGGCAATGCACAACTTCTCAAACCTTGGAATCAAACTGGACACTGCTATTCTTATTTCCTATTTCTCACTGATTTTCATGCAGTATTTGCATTTGTCATAGCATATGCTATGTCATAACCCCCAAAAACCCAACTTCACAAAGACACATCATCCAAAGGAATGTAGCACGATCTAATGTTCAAATCAGGAACTATGTGAAACTAGTAAGTTTACCTGGCAACCAAGAGATGTCAAATACTGCTATATGTTCCTTGAATATTTAAACAACCACACAGCGCCTCTACAGGTTGGTGACAATACGTTGGGGTATCTTAGTGTAGTGTAGGAAACATGGCCCCTAGCAAGGTATTACATAATTTTGTGGCTTTGGACTCAGACAGACCTAGATTAGAAATCATGTTCTAGGGGTGCTGGGTGGCTCAGCTGGTTAAGCATCTGACTCTTGATTTCGGCTCAGGTCACGATTTCAGGGTCCCGGGATGGGGACCTGAGTTAGTCTCTAAGCTCACCAGGAAGTCTGCTTGAGATTCTCTCTCTCCCCCGCCTCCCCACACAAGCAAGCACATGCACTCTCTCCCCTCTAAAATAAATAAATAAATCTTAAAAAAAAAAATCAGACTCTACTAATAACTATATAATCTTGGACACTGGGCAGCTGAATCAACTTCCTAAACCTTAGTTTCTATGCCTGCCAAATAAGAGTAATAGTACCAACCTCAAAGAACAGTTACGAGGAATCAGATGATGTCTGTACATAATAAATGCTCAATAAATACTAGTTATTGTATCATTCACACTTAAACCAAATAAGCAGTCTAAGCTAAAGCCACAATGTCAAATAAAAACTTATAAGCAAATTTTTAGGGAAATGATCATAAAGTGCTTAAACAATGACCATATAGAGAATTACAGTCTCCTCCAAAGGATGCCATAATGACATACGTATGACAAAAAATGACCACGTAAAATGTTTTAAAATGGTAACTCAGAAGAATATACTTGCAAAAACACCTTTTAATGGACAATCACACTAGGAAAAACCAAAAGTTTTATAAACTAGGATTCTTTAAGCAACACTAAGAACTGCCTTTTAAAAATACAAGTTTAGGGCGCCTGGGTGGCTCAGTTGGTTAAGCGACTGCCTTCGGCTCAGGTCATGATCCTGGAGTCCCAGGATCGAGTCCCGCATCAGGCTCCCTGCTCGGCAGGGAGTCTGCTTCTCCCTCTGACCCTCCTCCCTCTCATGCTCTCTGTCTCTCATTCTCTCTCTCAAATAAATAAATAAAATCTTTAAAAAAAATAAAAATAAAAATAAAAATACAAGTTTACATACAGCAAAACTCAACTGATTATAACAAAGATTTTTCCCAAAGAGCGTAATAGCTCAATATTATACCTCTGCTCATACCCTTAGTCTCACAACATGCTAAAAATTTAACATTTTAATTCCAATGGACTTGTGTATCTTATAGCTCACAAACATCTTTAATAAAATTTGTAACATAAGAACACTGCAAGTGCTTGGTTTATGAAAGGATTTTTGAAATATTTCATTTGATCCTCAGATATTATCTCTATTTACTCAGGAGACGAGGTCTATAGAAATTAAATAATTTGCCCTGCAACTTATATATTACTGTTCCGTGCTAAAACCAGTGTCTTTTAACTCTTTCTAACACAACTCCTTTCCAAAAAAGACTCAGTATATCTTGTTAGTTGGACCAGTAATGTTTAATCCAACTGTTACAAGTAGGTTAACCATCATCAAAGGCCTGAAAAGCTTTTCCCTGCACAGTAATGTCATTTTACCTGCAGACTTTTCATTTGCCAAGTATCCTGAACTGTGTAACATTAATTAATGATTATTCTTAGGTCACATTATGACAAGATCTATTATTACAGATGCAACTATATCAATGGTAATACAGTGGCTGAGCCCACTGGTATAATCTCTCAGCACAGAATATATCTCATTTTTCACTTAGCTGGTGGCCCATTGTTCAATGAACTATAAACTGACCCTAATATTTTTTCTTCTATAACAAGCCAAATGCGGTGGCCAAAATACTTAAAAGGAATGGAAGGCAAGAAAACTTGTACACCACCCAGAATACAATGCCATCACAGGTCTATGCCTGCCTTTCAACTTGGTCCAAGCAAAATTCCAAAAACAATTTGTCAGCAATCCTTTTCCCCAAATTCCCAAATTTCTCTCAGATACATATACTATCGCTTCCAAAAGTATCCTGAAAGCAAGTTACTAAGGCATTCTACTTCATAGTGACTACTTCTCAAAAACTTAAATGTAAATGCAATTTGATAATAAAATAACTATACTGGGAAGCTTAACTTTTAAAGAAATTCTGCAGGAAGTCTTTATATTATGTAACTTATCACCCCTATTTTATACTACATTTAAAAACTACCCTTTTAGGGGCACCTGGTTGGCTCAGCCGGTTAAGGGTCTGCCTTTGGCTCAGGTCATGATTTCAGGGCCTGGGATCCAGTCCCTTGTCAGGCTTCCTGCTCAGCTGGGAGCCTGCTTCTCCCTCTCCCTCTACCATTCCTCCTTGTGTGCTCTCACGCTCTCTCTCAAATAAATAAATAAAAATTTAAAAACCTACCCGATTATATGCCACAGTCTGTTAAGGGTAGAGATTTGGGCTATTGATAAGAAGAGATCTAGGCCTGTACCATAACTGCTAAATTAATCTGAGTCTTTGGTAGCCACATTTTCCCTATAGCTAATATTTTGAAAAACTTCACACCTGGCCCCTTCCTAGCAATGTGAATGCATTCTGTTAACAAACTCCTTCACTTCCACGGAGAATTGAAGAGCAACCTTGTTTTCTTAGAAAGGAAACAGCTATCTGTCTTATACAATACCCAGTCCACTTTAGCAACCTAACACGGACCAAAAAAAAAAAAAAAAAAGATCTATTTGGAAAACGTCTCTTCTCCAGCCAAGGGCTGTTCCCAGATAAAGGCAATGCTCAGAACACGGGGGGGGGGGGGGGGGGGCCTCCTCTGAGGGAAGAAATATGCCAGGAAAGGAGAGGCATGGATCGGGAATAAATAAGGGTGAGTGCACGCGTTCGGTGTAAGGGCTGGAGGCAGTAAGCACAGCGCTGAGATGCTCCAGCGAAAGAACCAGCAGCAGCAGCAGCAGCAGCAGGAAGTTTCAATGGGCCGGGCAGAGCATGCGCCCTGCACCCGCGCGGTGGCCTTATGTGGAAGGAGCACCACTTGCGAACACCAATAATAGACCAGCAGCACCAGAGAGAGAAACATGAGCAACAAGCACCTTCTTCAACTGTTTCCCCCTCCGTCTGAGCCCCTCCTCCAGCCTACATACTAACCACCCCACCCCACCCTGCAAATGGGAGGGCGACTTCTTCCCCTAAGCCCTGCTGCCAAGATGAAGGGGGAAGGGATTAGGAAAGTGGGGAGATGCTTTTCTATTATTTGGGGGGAGGTGGGGAGAGGGAGGAGGAAAACTATGGGGGAGGAAGAATTAACCCTCTACCCTCCAAAGTGGAGGAGCTGAACCGACTTCGACCCCCAAAGCGAGAATGGAGGAGGACCCCCTCCCATGGGGGAGGAGCAAACCTCCCTACTCTGAGGAAGGAGTTTTGGGGGTTAAACCAGCCCTCGAGGGGAAGGGAAGAGAGACGCGAGCGACTCTCTTGGGGGAGTTCCCACTAGAGGGAGGGAGAGCTGAAGTGTCCGCTGGCCCCCGCCCACCCAGGTGGAGGGAGAGAAAGGGGCGCCCCGAGAAGATGAGCCCAGCCTCCCCCGAGATGGTGGGGAGGATGGTGGGAGGAGGGGAGGGAGCAAGGGAGGGGAGGAGGAGAAAAGCGCAAAGCTGGCCGGAACCTGCGCTCCCCTTCCCCCGCCACCCAGGGGGAGAAAGGGTGGAGGACCGGCCCCTGCCGCCGGGGGAACAGTCCCAGGGGCCGCGGACCAGCACAATGACCACTCCACGCCCCCAGCCCACACCTAGCCCGCGACGCCCCCACCCCCTCTCGGCGCCAGGCCCAGTGGCCCTAGGGGGTCTCTGCCCCGCCTCCCCACTGCCCAAGACCCTGGGGGCTGGGCGGAGAAGCCGAGCCGGGCGGAGCTGCGCCCCAGGGGAAGGACAGAGCCGCAGAGGCCCGGGATGTCCGTGTAGGGCGGAGAGAAGGAGCGTGCCAGGGCCGCTTCCCGCCGGGCGTTCGGGCCCCTCGCTTACCTTCTCCACTGCCGACGTCCGGCGGCGGCGCCTGCAGCACCCGCTCCAGCTCGGGAAACGGCAACTCAGGCAGGTCGAGCAGCGGCCCGTAGCGCTCCAAGAAGGAGCAGACTACGGCGAAGTTGGGGCACGAACCCGGGCAGCCCGGAGGAGCCATCGCGGCCGCCGCTGCTGCCGCCGCCGCCATTTTGAACTGGAGGATGGAGGAGGAGGAGGCGATGGGGGGGGAGTGGAGGGAGTTGGGGGCCGAGGAATGGCAGGGCAGCCTTGCGGACAACAGGAGGCGCTAGTGAGTGGGCTCCCCTGTGAATCCGAGCGTCTCAGGCACGGCGCCGCGATCCCACAATACAACGGCTGCTCGGAGCAGTCGAGAACCGAGTCAGACGGGGGAAAGAGAGGCGCTCTATGCCTTTCACTTTCCGCCCTCTTTCCGCCCCCCCTTCCCTCCCTCTATTTCGCCCCTCCCACCTTGGGTTTGCCACTGCCTCGTGTGACAGGGGGAATGAAAACAAGGGAAGCGGGGCAGGGAGGAGGACTGGAAGCTGAAGAGGCGGGACTTTTTAGGAGAGGTGGCCAATAGGCTTGGAGGGGGCGGGGCTTCGGGCGACGACTGGCTGAAAGGCGCTTTCAGGGCGGGGCGAGTGGGGGGAGCGCCCAGCAGAGAGGGCCATAAAGAACCAAGGTGAGAGGTAAAGCGCGGAGCCGTTTGGGATCGCAGCTCTCCTGAAGAGAGGACGTTGGGTGAGTTTTGGGGGGGCTTCAGGAACTGAAACCGGGCTACCAGATGGTGGGGGGAGTTGGGGAGAGTGAATGAGAAGCAGAAAAAGGGGAGAATAGAAAAAAAAAAAGCACGATTCTGGGAGAAGTTTGGAAAGGGGAAAGGTAGAGAGGTGCCCTTAATTTGGGGTTGGAATGGGACCTTTGTAAGGAGAATTGCTTGCGAAGCTTTACTGAGGGGTATTGCTGTCTACTGGGGTACAAGAATCTCAGCTGTGCTGGAAAACAGGGTCTGAGGACTCTGGGGGGCGAGAGTCCGAGGGAACCGCTCTGCTAGTATCACCTGTCTGAGGAGTTGGGGCCCTGGTAGGAGGTCACGCTCTGAAAGGACCAGCTCTTCAGGCAGACCAAGGTATGAGGGGACAGGGCCCTGCTGTGGTTGCCAGAGTGTGAGGGGAAGGGACTCTTGAGGCACGAGGATCTGATACGACGAGACTTATACGGGGACCAGGGTCAGAGGGTGGGCCAGGACTCCACTAAGAGGACTGACAGGATAAGCGACTGGGTGCAAGAGTAAAACAATTGTTAGAAAACAGGGTTTGGCTTCGTTGGGGGCAGCAGTGAGCATTCTCCCACAAAGAATCTCAGAAAACCATCAATCATGCAAAGTAGAATGTGCAACTTGGGATGCAAGGTGCATTATGGTTAGAAGCCTGAGCTTTGTAAGTCAGCCGTACTTGGGTCCTAACAAAAGTGCTTCAGGCCATTGCAGAAGAGTCTGCGTTTCTTTGAACCTCTGTGAAGTGGGGGTGATAACTACTTATATCATAGGGTTTTACTAGCTATTCACAGTAAATTGATTAGCACAATGTCCAGGCACATTCATTGTAACTATTTTTAAAACGTTAGTTGCTATTACTGAATAAAGGAATTTCTAAAATTTAGATTGAATTCACGTATAATTTATATAGTCTACTACTTTGAGCTAGAATTTTCAGCATGCATTTTAAACTTACATAGTACCGGGGTGCCTGGGTGGGTCAGTCAGTTAAGCATCCGACTCGATACCAGCTCAAGTCTTGATCTCAGGGTCCTGAGTTCAAGCCTGGCATTGCGCTCCATGCTGGGCTTGAAGCCTACTTAAGAGAAAAAAAAAGTAAAAAAATGTTAAGGGACACCTTGGTGTTTCAGTTGGTTAAGTGCCTGCCTTCTGCTCGGGTCATGATCTCGGGGTCCTGGAATCGAGCCCCCTCACCTGGCTCCCTGCTTAAGGGGAGTCTGTTTCCCTCTGCTCCTCCCCCTACTTGTGCTCTCTCTCTCTCTCTCCCTCTCTCTGTCAAATAAATAAAATCTTTTAAACAATGTTAAAACTGGGGCACCTGGGTGGCTCAGTCGTTAAGCATCTGCCTTCGGCTCAGGTCATGATCTCGGGGTCCTGGGATCGAGCCCCACATCGGGCTCCCTGCTCAGCGGGAAGCCTGCTTCTCTCTCTCTCACTCCCTCTGCTTGTGTTCCCGCTCTCGCTGTGTCTCTCTCTGTCAAATAAATAAATAAAATCTTTAAAAAAAAAAAAAGTTAAAACTTACATAGCACCTACTTAAAAAGAATTTGAAACATATAAACCATGTAAAATCAGAAAATTTATGGTTATGGGGCACCTGGGTGGCTTAGTTGTTAAGCGTTGGCTGTGGGCTCAGGTCATGATCCCAGGGATCCTGGGATGGAGCCCCACATTGGGCTCCCTGCTCAGCGGGAAGCCTACTTCTCCCTCTCCCACTCCCCTGCTTGTGTTCCCTCTCTCGCTGTGTCTTTCTGTCAAATAAATGAATAAAATCTTAAAAAAAAAAAAAGAAAGAAAAGAAAATTTATGGTTAAAAGAAGGTAAAATATACAGTATAGGCAAATAATTATATTGGGAACAGAGAAAATGCTTACAATTATTGAATTTTGTTCTGTATTTCTAGGAAAAAAAACAATGGTCTATATCATTCTCACTAGCTAAAGAAAAAATATTCATTTTTATCAAAAGAGAAAAACAACTAGGGGTGCCTGGGTGGCTCAGTCGGTTAAGCCTCCAACTCTTGATTTCAGGGTCGTTGGAATCAAGCCCCACTTTGGGCACAGCACTGAGCCTGGAGCCTGCTTAAGATTCTCTTGCTCCGGGCGCCTGGGTGGCTCAGTTAGTTAAGCGACTGCTTTCAGCTCAGGTCATGATCCTAGAGTCCCTGGATCGAGTCCCGCATCCCCGCATCGGGCTCCCTGCTCGGCAGGGAGCCTGCTTCTCCCTCTGACCGTTCCCCCTCTCATGTGCTCTCTCTCTCTCATTCTCTCTGTCTCAAATAAATAAATAAAATCTTAAAAAAAAAAAAAAGATTCTCTTGCTCCTTCTCCCTCTGCCCCTCCCCACTCAGGCGTGCGTGCTTTCTCTCTCTCTCTCAAAATAGAAATGAAAAAAAAGAGAGAAAAAGATCTATATTGTAAGTGGAATTTATAACCTAGAATACTGACTCCTAATCCTGAGTAATATACAAACTTTTTATTTTTTTTTAAAGATTTTATATATTTGACAGAGAGAGAGCACAAGCAGGGGGAGTGGCAGAAGGAGAGGGAAAAGCAGATTCCCTGCTGAGCAGGGAGCCAGACAAGGGACTCAATCCCAGGACCCGGAGATCATGACCTGAGCCAAAGGCAGGCACTTAACTGACTGAGCCACACAGGCACCCCACAAACTCTTTTTAAAGGAAAAAAAAGGGGTTTTTTTTGAAATTTCTTAAATACTCTTGAAAATTCCACTTTAAGAAATACTACTATGAGAAATTAAAGGCAACAGAACAATGTGAATGTACTTCATGCCACTGAACTTAAAAATGGTTAAAAGAGTAAATTATAGGGATGCCTGGGTGGCTCAGTCCGTTAAGCGTCTGCCTTCAGCTCAGGTCGTGATCCTGGGGTCCTGGGATCGAGTTCCGCATCTGGCTCCTTGCTCAGCAGGGATCCTGCTTCTTCCTCTGCCTGCCGCTCCCCCCTGCTTGTGCTCTGTCTCTTTCTCTCTCACAAATAAATAAAATCTTTGAAGAAAAAGTAAATTTTATTTTATATATATTTTCCCACAACAAAAAAAGTAAAAAAACAAAAAAGAAAGTATAGTCTAACTTTGGGAAAATGTCTGTGGTTGTGAGTTATCATAGCAAAAGAGAAGTTTTCATTTAACGTGTAGTGAAATACTGTTTTAAGCAACACTGCTTAAACACAAGTCTAAATTAAAACATCAGTAGAACTCTCAAACTGCCAAGTATGTATCTCTAGACCTGGGAAACTGAAGACCCCAGTTTAAGAAAAATCTGACCTAGAACACATTCTTAACAAGAGTTTTGCAGAAAGATACAAAAAAACTTAATAAGGTCGTTATTTAATTGACCTTAAATAAAGGGCAGATACACAACATTAAATAAAATTACATCTTTGTGAAGCAGAGAAAAGAACTTGTGAAGGAACTTTGATAGAACTTCCAACGTAATGAAGTTTTAATTACATCATTTTGTAACCCTTACCTCCAGCCCTTCCCTTCTAGGTTTTTTGTTTTGTTTTGTTTTTTTAAGATTTTATTTATTTATTTGACAGAGAGAGAGAGTACAAGCAGGGGGAGCAGCGGAGAGGGAGAAGCAGGCTCCCCTTACAGCGGGGGGAGCCCGATGCAGGACTCAATCCCAGGACCCCAGGATCATGACCTGAGCCGAAGGCAGTCCCTTAACCAACTGAGCCACCCAGGTGCCCTTCCTTTCTAGGTCTTCACTTTCAGCTATTCGAGTTCCTCACCTCCTACTCTTCCATGGGTTGTAAAATAATATACTAAAAGAAAGCCTTATACTATACTTTTCTCAATCCTCACACTGTTATTCAAAGAAAGACTGATAAATAAGGTTAGAGTTTCTCCCTTTTCTAATCCAGATTGGCATGGGAACAAAGTTCTTGGGTATCAGAAAGTTATATCCACCCAAAAGATAAGAAATGTTTTACTACAAGATTTAGATCATACCTTCAGAGCGCCTGGGTGGCTCAGTTGTTAAGAGTCTGCTTTCGGCACAGGTCGTGATCCCAGGATCCTGGGATCGAGCCCTACATCGGGCTCCCTGCTCAGCAGGAAGCCTGCTTCTCCCTCTGCCCCTCCACCTGCTTGTGCTCCCTCTCTTGATGTGTCTCTGTCAAACAAACAAACAAATAAATAAAAGATTTAGATCATACCTTCACTAAGTCTGTTCTTGAAAAGAAAAGAAACACACACTTATAATTACACCATCTCTTTTTGCCTTTCTGGACCCAGAGAAGTTGTGGGTTATAAGAGTCTAATCCCAGTTGATGCAGTTAAGTGACTGAGTTATACACATCAGACTAGAATATAAAGATAGAGTAGCCTTAAAAAAAATCTGTAATTAATTTATTGCTACTGCCATGAAGTTGCCTTCAAACAAGCATTAAATTATCTACACTCAGTCTAACTTTGTTTATGAATAAGCGATTTCTTAAGATGGTTCATATTTCACATCCTATAGGGAAAAAAGAAAACTTGTTCATTCAAAATTAATGGCTAGTTTATTCAAAATACCAAAAAGTCTAAAACAACACAAATGTTCATCAACAGAAGAATGGATGAATAAATTGTGATTGATTCTTGCAACAGACTACTATTCATACTAATATACACTTGATACTACAACGTGAGTGAATCTCAAAGCCTGTTGAGTGAAAGAAGACAGACACAAAAAATAGGTACTATACAATTCCAGCAATATGATGGTCTAATCTAGGGGAATAGAAGTCAAATTAGTGGTTTCATTTGAGCTTTGAAAGAGTGACTAGAAAGTTACACAAGGCAACTTTCTGGATACTTTCTGTATCTTGATTGGCAAGTTTATACATTTGTCAAAAGCCTTTTTTTTTAAGATTTGTTTATTAGAGAGAGAGAGAGAGAGAGAGAGAACAAGCAGGGGGAGGGGCAGGCAGAGGGAGAGGGAGAAGCAGGCTCT